ATTCGTAAAAATAGTAGTTAACCTCCACTAAACATTTATCGTGATTCGCCTTTATTAAAACAAAATGTAAATCAGTGTCATTTTATTTAGATAAGGAGGAAAAAAAAAAAAATTACATTTATATTTACATTTACATTCTTCAGAACTTTTGATGATTTATTCAAGCGAAACTTTTGAACTCCGACACAGAAAATATCAAGTGTTTTTGGATGAACCTTTTGACAAGGAACAAGCACCAGGGAAGTAGTATCGTTCATTAGACCACCTGTTGGATCATTATCAATTACCGAAGAAGTTATTTTGCCATCATCATCTATAATACGACATAAGAACTTAAAAAAAAAAAAAATATATATATATATAGATGTACAGTATATGTATATGTAATAAGTTTAATAGGAATAATAATAAGTGAAAAAAGAAAAATAATAATTGCACCTGTATCACTCATTCACAATTCGTAAAATCAAGTATAAAAAAGGATATTCACGTGTTTAGAAAAACTTGGACATAAAGAAATCTCAAGCCTATTTTTATTTGTAATTTTAATTCCAATAATTTGATCCAAAGGAATTTGAATCTCCTCGATAAAGTAAGAAGTATTAAATCCGATGATAATGACTTTGGTGATCCATTTAAATAGTAAATCGATATGTTTACATCTTTTCGTTGAAATAAATTCATTCTTTGGTAAAAAATTAATTTCTCCAAGATCTATTCTAATCCAAGGTTGAATGGATGAATATGGCCTTCCTATGTTTTCTTATGAAATTAGAATTTATATGTAAAATATAAAAAGAGAAAGTATTTATAAAATATAAAAAGAGAAAGTATTATTATAAATTAGATAAGACATTTTTCATAAAGTCAAGAATAATCAAACGTATACTTTTAATACGGTAATTATTATTTTCGTTAGTTTTACATAAGGGCATAATCAAAGATTTTACGGAGAAACAAATTAAATTTTTATATATAAGTGGAAAAAACTTCACGTGAATGATCTGTTGATCTACATTCTGCATTAGGAAATCATTTTTGCTCTAAAAAGGTAAATGACCAAGGCAAATTAAAATTACAGGTTTATATGAACCTGTTCGTTTGATTAAAAAACGGGGGTCTCCTGGATCAAGTTTTATCAGGAACCTTTTGATAAGTACCATAAATAATTATAAAGTTATAATTATGTGCGTTTCATGTTCAACAATGACATCGTGTGAATAGACAGTCATTATGGTCATTATGGTCAAATTCGTCGAATGCACATTTTCCGAGTTAATGCACATTTTCTACGTCAAACTGCAAATTCTCTGCACATTTTCTGCATCAAATGCATAAATGCAAATGTCTCTGCAAAGTATTCTTTACTTTAATCCATGCACAATGTTTAAAAAAATCATATCACATCTTTTTTACTTTTTTACGTATTAAGTCATATATACAATAGAAATGTCTACAATAAGAAATGTGTATAATTTTAAATTTCTAAATTGGGAGAATCTTATTGCAAATATGGTATTGTTACGTACATAGATCGATCTACATACAAACATAACAGATAATGCAAAATGTTTACGATATATATATTTTTTTTTACAATATACAGATATACAGATATTTCTAGTATTTTCAAATATTTTCAATATTTCAATATGATATTTACCATTAATAATGACAGCTTGCATAAACAATATGATTTACTTTAGAAACCCTGCAGAATATTATTACTTTGACAATTCAGGAAATATTTTAATTGTATTGTGTTTATTGATAAATTTTTCATTGTTAAATGTTTCGCATCAGATAACTCCATATAACTCTATATTACTTTATATTGTCATAAAAAACGTCAAAACTTTATTTTTAAAATTTTATATAAATGGTTTGAATATTCTGAAATTATAACATATACAGTAGATATACAGTAGTAGTTTTTGAATAAGGTTAAACATTAACGTCATTAACTAATATTGATATGTCTTTGATATATATTTGTATATTCAAATAAATAAAATAATAAATAAACTAATAATAATAATAATGTAATAGTAATAATAATAATGCTGTAGTAATAATAATCAAACTTTAAAATCAGTAGTACAGTATTTCATTTTCGGAATTTATTTTCATTGATCATTGTTTGGTCATTATTATGAACCATTATTTAGTCATTATTATTTCATTTGAGCATTATATCAAATGTATTATTTCCATTATATTTTTATAAAGTTTAAAGAACGTGATAAAAGATTACCAATAAAGTTTGATCTTATTATGTAAATGCATTTTATTATTAAAATTTATTTTTTTATTATAAATAGCTTTACGAGATCAAACATATATATTTTACTTACATGATTAGAAATATGATATACATTATGCATCAACGTACGTGATGCCAAAAAAAAAAAAAAAGACAAAGAGGTATTTAAAGATTCTCCGATATCAACTTCAAATAGAATTATAAAATTTCACTCTTACAAAGACTTTGTTAAAAAAAATGATGTGCTAATCATACACAAATATTTATTAATTTTTTTTTTGTAATACAAATATGTTTCGTTGTCTTTGTTAAAGAGTGTCTTTGTTCATCACTTTCCATGTATGGTCTCGTTAGTACGTGAAATGTCATTGTTATATATTTGATCATTTGGTCCGCATGGGCGTTAATTATCACACACGACATTTTGTATGACGTATCAAAGATTTATGCTTCTTTGTTCAGGTTTAAAATTACATTGTATCTGTACAACTGTACATAAAATTCATACCATATAGATTTCTGTACGCCAGTACAATAAGCGCCTTTTAAAACACCTTATACGTATAAATTTATTGTCTTACCGTTTCCTAAATATTGGTAATATTTAGATCAACTTTTTAATTTTAGTTATATGCTAGTTTATAATCAATCTAGGTAACAAGGGTAGTACGTAAGATAAGCTCATCAACATTTAATTCTCCATTATTAAACGTGGTGGTTAACGTTTTAATGTTAAACGTGACTGCGGTTAATTTAACCTTTATTATAACTTTATAGTTAAACATTAGTTAAACATTAATGTGTGATTTATTACGCATGTGTTCTTTAACTTGAATAAATATACTATTATTAAATTGAATAAATATACTATTATTAACTTGAATAAATATACTATTATTAACTTGAATAAATATACTATTATTAACTTGAATAAATATACTATTATTAACTTGAATAATATTCTTATATACAAATATTATTTTTCATCATAACAGATACATACATAACAGCTTTTCAAAGAAAAGATTACGTATATAGGCATTTATAACATTCAATTTTTTTATTTCATTCTTATTCGCATGCATGCACATTTATACAGTAATAAGAACTTACATACATACAGTACGTACAGTACATAAGACGCCATCTTTCCCCGCAATTTATGTCACATGTTTCATGATCAGATTACGCCTGCATTTTCGGCTATTTGGCTGATTTGAATTCTTATAAATTCTTATCAAAAAAAAAAAAAAACCTTGAAATCCTGTATTGCTGAATTGGTGTAATACATGGTTATGCAATTTTATATGCATAGATATGTGTATATGCGTAACGGTAATACATTGTTTTTTTTTTGGCGTGATTTTTAATAATTTTTAATATTTAGACCTTGTCTTCCGAAATCCGAATTTGGGCGTTGACCAACAAACACCTTCCCTACAAAGAGTTTCTCCTCAAAGAGTTTCTAAGAGCTTCTAAGAGCTTCTAAGAACCTCTAGGGATAATAATTGAAGAAAAGTTATTTTTAAATTTCATTTTTTTTACTGTTTTTTTTTTTTTATTTAATTTTTTTTTTCTTTAGTTTTTGACAAATATACATGGTCTAGATTTTGTCAAAATGTACGTAACTAGTCTATTAAAAAAATAATAAAAAAACAGTTCAACTGTCAGTTTATAAAAAATTTAACCAAATTATCCCTTTCTTTCATGTCAATAAAGCTTTTACTGTATGTATGTATTGTCATAAATAAATAATAAATAATAAATATATATATACTATAAACATGTAAAAGTCAACCAAAAGATGCAAAAATTGTACAATGAGTGAATGAATGAATGGAAGATATATATATATATATATAAATACGCCTGTAGAACCTATAGAACAATGTAGAGAACCTTTTTTCGCGCCGCAAATGTTAAAAATAGTGTCAAAAATCGGAAATAGCAGTATGTGGATGAGAATGGGGTGAGTATGCGGATAAACGGGTTTTTCAATGCCAATGAGGAAATTGATGCCAATGAGAAAATTGACATCAATGAGGAAATTGATACCAATGAGGAAATTGGATAATGTATAACATGACAAAGAATTGCCAAAGAATTGCCAAAGAATTGATAAAGAATTGATAAAGAATTGATAAAGAATTATATAGACACTTACGTACGTATACGTACTGTATCTGTATAGGTATCGGCATATCAAAAAACAATCAAAAATAAAAATAAATAAATAAATAAATAATAGACTAAAAAAAAATGCATATGAACAAATCTACAGAAAAAAAAACTATTCACAAGATTTTGTTTTTAAAAAAGGATTCGTTATTTTGTTTTCTCTAACTTCTATGGAATTTTTTTGGGGGAACGGGATAAATAGATATAGTTGTATGTAGATATAACATGTATATAAAAATATGATATAAATAAATAAAAAAAAAAACAAAAGAAATAAAGAAATCCACAAGCGTGCGCGTAAATGTCCCTATTGTACATGATTTAAAGGTTTAATTTGGTTTAAACAAAAAAAATATTACAAAAAAAAAAAAATTGGAAAAATGATTTGATTGAATGTAAATGTGAATGATTGAATGTGATGCAAAATGTTGGGGGGTTTTTTTTCTCTGGAAACATTCCTAACTTAATAATCTATTTATCATAGGCTGCCCTTTTTTTTAAGCTCATTGTTTAAGTTCATTGTTAAGTTCATTGTTAAGTTCATTGTTTAAGTTCAGTGTTAAGCTCGTCGTTCTATGTCATGATCTGATCCATAAGCGGGTGCAGGGACAGTTATAGCTAAATCAGCACCTAATAAATTATTATTATCATTGAAATCATTTCGAATAGGTTTTAAATCTATAGCAAAATCTTCGGATAAATTAGGACTATTATCATTAGTAGCAAATTCACCAAAAGTATTTGAAGTAGGTGAACGAGCTAAAGTTGGTCTTTGTTGAGTTAAATTCGAATTTGAACCTATAGATTCATTTTGCGATGAAGTAAGTTTACCAGTGAAATGTAAATAAACACGTTTTGCTAATAAATATTGACATATAGCTATTATAGGTTGAGGTCCTGATGTATGCCATATAGCTGCCATTAAAATATTTGCTACATTCATTGAAGAAATCAATTTGATACGGTAGATACCATACATTCCCCAACAAGGTGCAGTAATAAGGGGAAGAGCTGCAAGGTATATCATAGTATATTTAAGACGTTCAAGAGCTTCTCGTGCTCCATTCTTTGTTTGATGATAATTTGTTGATTTACGATTAAATTGTTTCATTGAACCTCGAAGTATTAACATGAAATTAATTCCATAATATGCTCCAACTGTAGCAAATAACATTAAAATGAAAAAATAGATAATATATTGTGTAGAAGTCCAACGATCTGCTGCTTCATTATTACCAAGATCTCTATAAATTCCTGAAAGAACTGCCGAAGGAAAAACGGTCACGGTAGGTAAAAGTAACCATATAGCAAGAAAATAATTAAGTGTTGTAGGTCTTGGAAGGTATATATCACGTACAGATATGTCACTTGCTTCACCTTTATTATCGACCTTAAGGGTCTGTTTCCCACCTGAATAATTTACAGGAATTGTATATATAATTCCTATTAAAAAAAAAAAAATTATATATATATATACATTACAATGAATACATTACAATGAATACATTACAATAAAAAATATTTTACGTGTAATTAATACATACCAATATTATAACAAACGGCACCATAACATAAAACAGTAAAACCAAGTTCTTGAAAGGTTTCTTTCTGCCAATACTTTGTATAAGCATTAGTTAACATACACAAAGAGTGAGTACCACGAAGAAATGCAGCAATCGTCCAAAAGAAAAGTAAACAATCAACAGGTAAAGGTCTTATTCCATTTCCATGATCAACAAATAATCCCTGCCACATATATCGAAATCGATAATAAAAGATAAGTGCGCCAGAGATTGTAAGTAGGTAATAGGTTATAACTGAGATCATAACTAGAGTGACGAACAAATTTGACCCTTGGCAGTCATAAATTTCCACACGCCAATCACAAACTTTGGTACTATCGTTGCTCATGTTGTTGATTTAAACAGGTTTGAAGGATGTGTGTGGTAATAAGGGGGATCGTTATAAAAAAAATCTGATATTTATAAAAGAAAGTTATTGATTTTTAAAATGTTGAATTTTTAATTTTTAATTGGAAGACTTGTGGTCACCACCAATTAATGTTAGGAATGTTTTTTCTTTCGATTTGATTAGAGAAAACGTTATGATTGATAAAGTTCCAAACGTTTCAGCCTATGAATTATGGTGAATAAATAATTAACATCATGCGTGGGATTGGATGCGAAATGTATGATATGATCGAGAATGGATCAAAGTGAAAGAAAAAAAAAAAAAAAAAAAAGGCGGTAAAAAAAAATATATATTATATATATATATTTAAAGTGAAAAAAGATAGTTAATATATATTGCTGATAAATTATAATTGTGTTACTTTCTATAATTATAATAATTATATAAAAGTTTTATTCATTTACCTTTCCTTCTTTCGATTGGATAATAAACTGAACAAAGAATAAAGGACTCGTTCAAATAAGATAAATTATTGGTAGCAAGGCAGTCTTTGAAAAAAAATCTGAACTGGGATGACCAGAGCAAGTGTCGGGGGGAAAGAGACTCTGACAGCCTTTTAATATAATTTTTCACATCAAAGAAAGGATAAGTATGACAAGATGAATTGCATATTTATTATTATAAAAATAAAATTGATGTTCTCGATAGTACGTACAATAATGCGCTTCCTTTTTTTTGATATGATCTGTGGTGTGAACACAAGTATTTTCCCTGTGTTCAATGTGTTCAGTGTGTTCAAGAAGTTAGAACAAATTCTGTCGTACGACACTTAATTTAATAAATAGATTACTGTATACACTAAAAAAAAAAAATAAAAATAAATAAAAACAAATAGGAAATGTTTAAATGGGAGTAAAAGGAGTGACAAATAAGTTGAGTGACATTTAGTAACACGTGCAGTGAATATCGTTAAAGTGTTTCGGTATCACGTGAGAGAACTCGGGTGTCTATTGGTAAACAGGAAATGAATTGAATATGGTTTGTTCTGTAGAAAAAAAAAAAAAAAAATCAAAGATGGTGCAGAAATGTCATATTTATTTTTTTTTTTTTTAATCATTAATATTTATAAAAAAAACCTTGTTTAATGGACAAAGAAAATAAATAAATCAATAATAATGTTATTATTACGTTTATGTTATTACAGTTTAATTATTATATTTTTTATATTACGAAAAACTTTATTGAAAGATGTACATAATAAATGTCGAATCAGTGATGAAATTTAACGTAGTGATGGGTACAAAATTAATCTTAGTGGTTCTTAAATTTTAGACCTTGTCGAGAGGTTACTTCGTTTAAAGCTTTGTTAATTTAACATCTAGAATCTGGAAAAAAAAAAAAAAATTAAACGTTTACATTCGTCCGACGATTATGATCAATTCGATCAACATATCAACATGATCGGCTATGACCATCTAAATTTGATTAAGTTTCTTTGAAATGTATCAAATTCCAGGGGGG